GAAGTTTGAGGGTTGATATGTTGTGGGGTTGTTAACCAATGTCATAAAACAACATGTGTACTACTGTTTCACGAGAAACTATTTGTTCTGTAAGCCTTCACCTGAAGTACAATTAAAAAAAAAAAATTAAAAAAAAAAAACAAGCTCTAGCATAAAAAGGAAAGAAGAACTGATACATACTACCGTATACATGCTAAATGAAAGAAGTCAGACACAAAGAACACATATTGTAGGATTCCACTGATAGGAAATGTCCAGAATAGGAAATCCACAGGGACAGAAAGTAGATTAGTGTTTGCCAAAGGCTAGACTGGTAGCACCATGGTTAAGCATTTGACTGCTGACCGAAAGGTCGGCAGCTCAAATCCACCAGCTGCTCCTTGGAAACCCTGTGGGGCAGTTCTACTCTGTCTATAGGGTCGCTATGAGTTGGAATCGACTCAGTGGCAATGGGTTTGGTTCAGGTTTTTTAGGGCTGAACTGAGGGGAGAATGGGGAATGACTGCTAATGGGTAAGGATTTGGTGTTTTTTAAGGGTTATGAAAATGTTCTGCAATTAGATAGTGGTGATGGTTGCACAACCTTATAAATATACTACAACCCCCTGAATTGTAAACTTTAAAAGCAAATTTTATAAATGGAATTCTATCTTAATTTAAAAAAGAAAGATCTAGGTACTAGGTGTGCTCATTGCTAGCAGGGTGTCACTGCTTCTAGGACCTCTCAAAAGAGCTGGAAAATAAATGTTTGTTTGTACATTACACATTCATATGTTTGCACATATACATGTGAAGACGCACACAGATACATATGTACACCCACACACATCTAGCTGTCTCTCTATTAAAACCTATAAACTTCACACTGATGTCTCCAGTTAAGCGCTACAGAGTTCATCCCATCCTCTGCCTTTTCCATATTTCTAATTGCCCTCTACAACACTGGGAAATCTTATAAAGAGCCAGGATTTGAATCCAGACAGTTTAGCTCTCTTAACCACCATTCTTTAGGATATCCATTTATTTTAACAAAACTATAAATGACTGAGTAAAATTCGGTTCTAATTCAGCAAGCATCTTAATTAATACTCACAGTGATGCTGTCCAAGAGTTTGGCCATGTGTTTAATGATTTCACCATGTTGTGCAGGTTGCATTTGCAGTAATTTCTTAATAACAACCACACTTTCAGCAACAACTATTTCTAAAAAAGACAGAAATTATTCATATTAAATATGTGTAATTTAGTACAAATATACTTGGTAAAATGAAAGCTTAAATTAGCAAAACATTCTTCATGCCTTAAAAGACCAGGTGAAAATTATAACCACGAGTATACTCCCAATCTTTGAGGGATGAACATATATATTCCAAGTAGAAGAGTATTAACCCGTAATCTCTGTTGTTGTTTCTTAGCTTGTGATAGCACTTTTCTAATCTTTGCCTCTTTAGGTCAGGAAAGCAAAGTGAGGTTAGATTATGTGGTCACCTTAATGTACAAGCACCTTTAGCTTTTAATCAGAGCTCTCAGATGCTGCTCTTTGATCCCTATCAATTACATACCAAAAAAACCCAAATCCACTGACGTTGAAAAGATTCCGACTCATAGCAACCCTACAGGACAGGGTAGAACAGCCCCATAGAGTTTTCAAGGGTGTAAATCTTTATGGAAGCAGACTGCCAAATTTTTACCCTGTGGAGCAGCTGGTGGGTTCGAACCAATGACCTTCCAGTTGGCAGCTGAGCACTTAACCACTGTGCACCAGGACTCCTTATCAATTATATAGGGGACATCAAATACCTACAATCTAAACAATATTTTAGGCATTTTCAAATGAGTAGTAAGGATTATTAGTAATAGGAAAGGTTTAACTGTAGAAAGAGTATGGACTTCAGAGTCAGAAAGATCGGGGATTGTAAATTGGATTGTCTCCATTTGTCCCATAAATCCACCCATCTCTGTCTGCAGAGGCTAAACTCTGTGCACACCATCAGCTAGATTCCCTTGCCCTGGCTTCTAGCTGAGTTTAGCCAATAGGAGGCACCAGTAGGAGACCAGAGGGAGGGAGGAGAGATTAGAGTACTTATTATCCTGGATCCCTCCCTGCCAAGGAGCCCTGCTGGTGCAGCGGTGAAGTGCTCAGATGACAACCAAAAAGTTGGTGGTCTGAATTCACCAGCCGCTCTTCGGGAGGAAGATGTGGCGATCTGCTTCTGTAAAGATTTACAGCCCTGGAAACCCTATGGGGCAGTTCTACTCTGTCCTATAGGGTAGCTACGAGTTGGATCGACTCTACAGCAACAGGTTTTTTTTGGGGGGGGGGTGAGGGTCGTGGGGAGACAGGGTTATCCCTCCCTGCCAGGCCTCTCGAGGATAAGGCCTTTAAGGTAGTGCTTCCATTCCTCTACTGAAGGCCTCAGTTCCTGTCAGTGCCTCTCTCCTGAAGTGTCTAGTAACTGCTCCCACTCCTCACCAACCTCTTCAATCCTAGAGAGGGTACAGGTTCCCCTTACACTCTTGCTAGTGTCAGGGTGTTTCAGCATACCTTGTTGCTTTCCCTTAATCCTGTTCACACGTTATAAACAGCATCTTCATTAAATTCTCCTCAATCGCCCCTTTTGATTGTACCATCTGTTTCTTGCCATGGCCTTAACTGATAACAGTAATTGGTACTTGGAGAGGCTGCAGGAAGCAGAGCCTCAAATTGGAACTCTAAGATTGAGTTATCACACCAAAAGCGCTAATTGGTAGCCCATAGTTATGTTATTTGGTGGCACTGACAGAGAAATGTAATGTATCTAGCTTGAGCACCTAACCTGATGGAGTGAATCTTATGTAAACATTATTAAACATCTTTGGGGGGGCAGCATCATACTGCCTACTGCAGGTACCTTCTCATTTCCTTCACATAATTCTACCCTGCTTTTTCTTTAGCTTCTCCAACAAAGGCACAAAATGATTCCATGTTCTGAACATTTCCTAGCTTCCTCCCTATCCCCAACAGAACTTAATGGTCATCACTCTAGGAAGTACATTCTACTATTATTCCCATTTTACAGTGAAGAATCTGGAGCCCAGGGAGATGGGATAATTTACTCAAGGTAACATTAGTATTCATACATAGGTATTCTGGCTCTGCATTTAAGCAAAAACTTTGCAACAGAGTAAGTGGTCAATATATGAGAAGACTATACTATACCTATTTTATATGACTGTCTCCCTCCATTAGATTGTAAGTTCCCCAGGAGGGGAGAACATTTTGCAGGCTGAATAAATATCTTTCTCATCTATTCAAGATTTACTAAATATCTCCATTTATTAGTCTTCAATAGTTATTTATTGAATTATTAAAAAAAAAAAAAACCTTAACAGTCTTCTGCACCAATTCTTTGAGCCTTATTTTGTGTCAGTTTACAATAGATGGTTATTCTGACAAGCAGATTTTGCTAATATGCGCTACCTGAAATAAATTGCTTTAGAAAATTAAATTATTCCAAGTCAATGTCAATTTAAATGTAGATTTCTCGTAAAGGTCCTTAAGAAATCTGTTTCTCAAATTAATCTTAGATAGTGACATTGGACTGTTGTAGGAAAAGCATCAAGTCTTCTTAGAAAGGTCTTCCTCATGCCAAGAAGGGAGACATCAACATTAAAATAAATAAATAAATAAAAACCCAAAAGCCTACAGTTCTAAGAGAAGTATGTTAAATATGTCTAAAGACAATGGAGTCTAAATGTAGTCCCTGAGGTTTCAAGATACATTATAGGAAGAGGATGTACTTAGTTCACCATAAAAATCAAAGAATCACAAATTCTCACAGCCTCAAAAGATCTCACAGATTTTAAGGAAACGAAAGCCTGCTCCACAGTATCTATTCCTAAAAGCAGATCTTTTAATAGAAAAAGGATCTGTTTCAGGACTGGCCATTTTAAAGTAAAAACTATTATTACTTTCTTTAATGTTACTTATTTTAATATAAATTTTCTCTTTATTTCTTTTACCTCTCAGCTTTTTTGAGCCAGATTTCCAACTACAAAGGTATAGCATGTATGATAAAGAGATAATGAATCAGGTATTATGTTGTAATGATGATTATGCAACCAGAACCTGAACAATACAATTTTATGTTTCTAAATATTCAAACAGAAGATAAAACCCCACAGCTATGAAGGGAGTTATGATTTACTAAAAACAAAAGCCTAAATTTAAAAATCACAGATTAATTTAGTAAATCCTCCTACATTTTAAGAGTGATTATAGATTATATTAGTTTTTCATTAGCTAATTATAAAACAATCTATTGTTCCCTTAAAAGTGTCACAGGGGCAGAATATTCATCTTTTACATAAAGCCAATAAAAAATATTTAAAAAAAATTAATGTGCTACAAAGCTGAAGTAGAAGTAATTGCTTTAAAACCCACAGCTTGAAAATTTTACATTAGAAGAAAGGGTCAAAAATAAAATTGAGAAACCCTGAATTTATTTCATATTTGAAAGAACTAATCAGCATTCTAAGTAATTTCTGGTGCTTTATGCATGAAATTAAATTTTAAAAGAAAAATTACCCTGGTATACCCTGGTTCATAATCTTTAATGTTCTGGAAATTTTTTGCCAAGGAGAATATTTTATTTAGTTAAATAGAAAGCCATTATTAAAGATACAGAAAAATAAAAATGTATTTTTGAAGTCATAATTTAAAATGTGACATAGAAATAGAAACAAAAAGGATGTTACAGATAAAATGGATGGCATTATTTAGAAAATCTACTTGGTTGATAATGTTTGTTACACTTATTCAGAGTTTTAATACTGCATGTTGAAAAAAACATGTTTACTGGTGAAAGTTTATAATTTTATTTATGTTCACAATAAAAATCAATGTTATTTGGGATATATTTTGTTTTAATTTTTTTTCATTAGAAGTACTTACAACAATATTACAATAATAGATAACTAAGGATAACGCAGCTATTATAGTGAAAAGTTATATTTCAAACAAAATGTAAAAATAACCAATTTTGTTATGTTTCACCTCATGGTTGCTATGTCATATATACCTGTGTATATGCCACATGACATAATTGCAGTTAGAATTCCACAAATAATTTCAATGATTTTATACAGATCATTGCTTCCTAAAAAGAATCTCTTGTTTTAACCAAATACACAATTATAATAAAATTCCTCTAAATAAATTATTTTAAAGGTAAAAGTTTATTCATTTTTTCTTCTTTCTCCAAATGGTTTCATTTGTTCTAAAGCCATATCCATAGAAATAACTGACATTTAACCACAAAACCGTACGAAATCTAGATTACAGCTTTTACTGGATGTTTTCTCTCCAGTTTTACAGAATGTTTAAACACTGTTTAGCCTAAAAACATGAAACTGCTCCAAATTAATGACTTTTAACTCTAGTTAACCTTGAATATAAAATTATTAGGTGAATTTCGGGGGGGGGAAGAGACTTTGAAGGTACACATTTAACATACTTTTTGATCTAGCAACTACCCCATGTTATAAAGTTATTTGCCTGCTTTTAGCACCCTCTGCAGGTGAACCAATATTATATACTACTTATATGCCATTAAAAAGCAGTAAAATAGAACCTTTTGGAAAGGGTACAATGAAGGCGAGTAAACTATGAAGTAAAATAAACAAATCACACTCTCTTAGTTGTGTGTAGGGAAGACAAATACTGCTTCCCAATTAATTAATTAATTTTTCAAAAGCATATATCTCTGTGTCTGCGTGTGCGTATATTTCAAAGATAAAATGCTACTCGTTGAGACCACACTATTAACATACAGGAAAAACTAAAACACAATGTTAAAAAAATGTTACAACTTGCAGATTATACCAAGAAGAATATTTGAATTATAAATTACTTGAAAATATTATGACACTGTGGACTTACCATCCCTGTTGGACAGCAGACACACCAGGCCATTGAGGCATGCGTCAGTGATTTCTGAGATGTTGGTTGCACACCTGCCTATAGTCTGAATAGTGGCTGCTGCAAACTGCTTATCCTGGCTTTTCACATAGGTCTAAAAAAATATTATTTCAATTAGTTTACACATTGGTACTATCAAGTGAACAAAAAGACCCTATTACATTAATCTTTGCCAATATATAAGCATTCTAAAATACGTAATCTTCTCATCTATACGCACAACAGGAGGTCCAACTGATGGCTCAGCTTAACATGATTTTGTTTTTACTTAAAGAATGTGCCTATAGAGGAGGCACATTTTCAAGCCAGGTTCAATCACCTGTGGCCACAGTGGCTTGCGACTCCAAAATAGATAGTGGGGAGCAATCACCCAAAGACAGCAATTAGTTTAAGTGCAAGGTTGAAGGAGATGATGAGAATTCTCTCTTTGGAGGTTTCAGTCCATTTAACCAGCAGCATCTGTGAATCTATGAAAGAAAGGGTCTCTTTTCCAGAGACACTAAATCTTAAAACTGGGAGAGAAGAAAAAGGACCAATACGCTATTGACAAACGTTTTATTCTCGAAATGCGATATGAATGGTAGTAAAAGTATAACAGGAGCTACAGAGAGCTACATTTCAATAAAGACTCTAGAATTATACAATTTGCAACAAAACGTATTTTTATAATAGATTTTCTTTAAAAGTATGCTTTAAAACATACACTATAAACTGTATGTGTACACAACAATAAAAGAAATATATCATTGATTTAACAATCAGAAGTTAAAGGTCTTTACAAAATTTATAATAATCCTAAAGAATTTCACTTTGGTTAAAATCTTTCCTAATTTAAAAACGAAGCTTTCACTGTTTACAGAAATTAATGTACTTTTAGTACGCATATTTATATTTTCACTTTAAAATCCTATTTTCAACTAAAATTAAAAAAAAAGATTCCCATCCTCAAGTGACAAGTACATAATGTAGAAGTAACACATATGGTTATCTAAAATGTAGAAAGAAATATACATTTAAATGTTGCCTAAATGACAAATGGGGAAGAAAATCTGAGGACATCTAAAAAAATATACAAATTTAGTGAAAATGGTACGAAGAAGGTGATTAAATGTTGAAGAAATAAATAATTAAACTCTCTTAATTCTGTTTAGGCAAGACCAATTATATTTAAGACTATTTTCAAACTGAAAATCTAATTTCTCAATTAAAAAAATTGCATTTATACTTTTATTATATATATTTCATATATGTATGAGTCTTTAGAAAGTCTCTATTTTTCTCAGTTATTATTATAAGCAAACTGCACACAACCATGAACATCACACAAACACATAAATAAGATGCATACATAGACTGAAAAAAATGAACATATGAAGAAAGAGTATATTAATAAGTTTGACTAAAATGACCCTATTAAATATCCTGATATTAAATAAAATGACTGGGTCATCAATATTCTGAAACAAGGCTAGTGTGTTACTTCTGTGCACCTAAACGATTGCATAAAATTACATGAGACCCCCTACCTATAACACCAGAAGACTGGGCATAAGCAGAAAGTGGACAGCAAAGGACATCCAAAGAGATTCATAGGACAACAGGGGGAAAAAAATCATAAGAATGAAGTAAAAATAAAATTCAAGCAACATTCTATAGCCATGATTTACTGGATAAGAACTTGAGACACTGTATTTTCTGGCATAAGAATATGAGATGAGTGGGTATCCAGGAAATATCCTAATTTTACAAGAAATTTTTCTAGAAAAAAATACACCATGAAAACACAGCAATCCAGTTATGAAATTATAAATCATGGGCATACAATAATATTTGAAGTAGTGTATAAAATCACATAGCTAAACAGAAACACAATTATCTGTATAGCTAAAAAGAAATATAATACAGGCATGTATAATGATTATGGTAATAAAATAAAAGTTAAGGGTTGACAAAAACTCTACCTGTGATTAGTGTGTGGTATGTGGTATATTTTTGTTAAGAAAACTGCTGGTGGGATGTAAAACTCTTAATACTTACATGAGGTTTACTATTGCTATGCTCCACCACTAAATCTTCAGAGCTGACCCTTCTATCACAAAGGGCATAATGCCCATAAGGTAATTTCTGAATAACATTTTTGGGGGTATGGAACTGGAGGCATCTCATTCATCAGCAATAAATCAAAACAACAACAACAAAAATCATGGCATTTTTTTTTTTCTTTCCTAGCTAACCATAAGGTTAAGGGGACAGGGTCTAAAAAAGTGATAGGTAAATCAAATAGCGACAACCAGGCAAGAAATTAAGTCATTTTCATGAGTGCACAGTATTGAAAGAACTTTTGTTGAAGACAACACAATGAAATGGCATCCTGACCACTAACATCATTTCTAGCAAGGAGGACAAAGTTATAAATAAGTCTGTCAAATTCTGTGGAAGTGTGAATGGAAATACTATTACATTTCCCTTCAATGATAAATTTGTAGTTAATGTTCGTTTCTGAAATTTTATATATTTCTCAGTTGACAATCTTGTCCCAAATCATTGTTTTCTTTACACAATTATATATTTCTAAATTTAGAAAAATACATATTTAGCTTAAGACTGAACATATGCTTTAGAAGTTATTTTATAATTAGCCTTGTACACAAACCTGAAATTCTCGAAGAAGAGTTGATATATTGGCTTCATTTGCCAAGTTTGTCAGAATTTCAAGCTATGGTAGAAAGAAGAGAGAATTTTTTTGTTATATATATTTTACCACAGTAAATTTTTTTAAAAAATGATACATTTAATAAAGGCTGGGCATTGAACAGAAAGGTAATTTCAGTTTTATAAAAAAAATCACATATCACAAATGTTGTAAGGCATTATACCCTTCAGGTGAGCTTAGTCTGTCTCCCTATGTTTATAAATAAATAATAGATAATTACATGAACCTCATTGCCGTTGAGTCGATTCTGACTCATATCAACTCTATAGGACAGGGAAGAACTGCCCCATAGGGTTTCCAAGGAGTGCCTGGTGGATTCAAAGGGCTGACCTTTTGGTTAGCAGCCGAGCTCTTAACCACGGCTCCATCAGGACTCCAGATAATTACATAGTTCTTAAAAAATACTTAGGAAAAAGTGAATCCTACATTTAGCTGCACATTTCTTATATATATAAATCCAGAAGAGACAATTAAAATATCTAAATGAATGAAGCTGGATCCATACCTCACACCATATATGAAAATTAATTCAAAATGGATCAAGGACCTAAATAAAAGAATTAAAACCATAAAACTCGCAGAAGAAAACAAGGAGTAATGCTTTGGGACCTAGTTTGTATGATCAACTTCCCTAATTATTTGTCCCAACTTTACAATCTATGCTTAACTGACCTGAACAATTTAAGCTACTTTTATTAATAATGCTTGAAAATAATTTGTCCTCTATGTAATACCTCTATTTTCCAGACATCTATTAATTCTCTTGATTTGTTCTCCCGTATCCTACCATGCCAAATATTTAGAAATTTTAATTTTCTTTTATGAATTTATATATATAAGAACTATGCAACAAAAAATTCAATCATAATAGGCTTGCTAAAGTATTTCATGTCTTTACTCATATAAAATATTCAATTAATCCACAGGAAGGCAACAAAAAGGAAAAAGGGCACCAAGAACAGATGGGACACAAAGAAAATAAAATACAAAATGTAGACATAAACACATTCATATCAATAATTACTTTAAAAGTAAATGGTCTAAGCCAAAGATTAGACAGCCCTGTAAAACAAAACGAGACTAATGGGACACAACAGCCCAGGGACAAGGACTAGAAGGCAGGAGGGGACAGGAAAGCTGGTAATAGGTAACCCAAGGTCTAGAAGGGAGAGTACTGACATGTCATGGGGTTGTTAACCAACGTCATAAAACAGTATGTGTACTGTTTAATGAGAAACTATTTGTTCTGTAAACCTTCATCTAAAGTACAATTAAAAAAAAAGTAAATGGTCTAAACACTTCAATTAAAAGGCAGATATTGACAGACTACATATAGAAGTATGACCCAACTATATGCTGACTATAAGAAGCCCTATTTAAATATAAAGATTATAAACAGGTTAAAGGTAAAAAGCATAAAAATAAAATAAAATACCTAGGAATAAATTTAACCAAGGAAGTGAAAGACTTATACACTGAAAAGTATAAAACATTATTTTGAAAGAAATTAAAGACCTAAATAAATGGAAGGGCATTCTGTGTTCACAAACTGGAAGACTTAGTATTATTGAATTAATATGTCAATATATTATAGATTTCATCTATAGATTCAATGCAATCCCCAACAAGATTCCAACAGCCTTCTTTGCAGAAATGGAAAAGTGAATCCTCAAATTTATATGGAACTGAAAGGGGCCCCAAACAGCCGAAGCAATCTTGAAAAAGAAGAATAAAACAGAAGGACTCACACTTCCTGATCTCAAAACATGCTATAAAGTGAGAGTAATTAAAGTAGTCTGGTACTGGCATAATGAAAGACACATAGACCAATGGACTAGAATTGAAAGTCCAGAAATAAACCAGTGTATCAATTAATTTTCAACAAGGGTTGAATAGTCTCTTTAATAAATGGTGTTGGTACAATTGGATTTCTACATGCAAAAGAATGAAGCTAGAACCATATCTCATAGCATATACAAAAATTAATTCAAAATGGATCAAGGACATAAATGTAAGAACTAAAACCATAAAACTCTAATAAAGAAAAGCCAGGAGTAATGCTCTGGGATCTAGTTTGCACAATCAACAAAAGACAAAATAGATAAATTGGATTTCATCAAAATTAAAAACTTTTTTGCGTCAAAGGACTTTCTCAGCAAAGTGAAGAGACAACCTATAGATTGGAAGAAAAAACTGGGAACCATAGATCTGATAAGTGATTAATATCCAAAATATATATAAACTCCTACAACAATAAAAAGACAAACAATCCAATCAAAAAATGGGCAAAGGACTTGAAGAGACATTTCACCAAGGAAATACAAATGGCCAATAAGCACACGAAAAGATGATCAACATCATTAGTTATTAAGGAAATACAAATCAAAACCGTAATGAAATACCACTTCACCTCCACTAGAATGGCTATGATCAGAAAATCAGAAGTGTTGGCAAGGATGTGGAGAAACTGGAATCCCTATCCATTGCTGATGGACTGTAAAATGGTACAGCCACTGTGCAACACAGTTTGGCAGTTCCTCTAAAAATTAAACATAGAATTACCATATGATCCAGTAATTCCACTCCTAGGTATTATAAGCAGGAATACAAACAGATACTTGTACACCAATGTTCACTGCAGCATTATTCACAATAGCCAAAAGGTGGAAACTACCTAAGTGTCCATCAACAGATGAATGGATGAACAAAAATGTGATATACGCATACAATGGAATATTATTCAGCCATAAAGGGAAATAAAGTTTGAATACATGCTACAACATGAATGAACCTTGAAAACAGTATGCTGAATGAAATAAGTCAATCACAAAAGGACAAATATTGTATGATCCCACTTAGATGAAACATCTAGTATAGGCAAATGCATAGAGACAGAAATAGGTTAGTGGTTACTGGGGGATAGGGGAAGGGAGAAATGAGGAGTTACTGCTCACTGGGTCCTGAGTTTCTGTTGGGATGATGAAAAAGCTTTGGAAATAGATAGTGGTGATGGTGGCACAACAATGTGAGTATTGCTTAAAATGTTTAATTTTTTTTCACAATAAAATTTTTAAGAAGAAAAAAAAAGCCAATAAGGAAATATTATGAACACTTTGTGTCAATGAGCACCTTATATTAAATGGACAAATTTGTTGAAAGACACAAATTATGAAAACTGACACAAGAAATAATAGAAAATATGAGTTATCTTAAATCTATTTAAAAAATTGAATACATAATTTAACATTTTCCCCTCAAAAACAGAACTCTAGGCAAAGATGGCCTTATTTGTGGGAAAGGAATGATGCAAAATCTATACAATCTCGAGAAAATAGAAAAGAATCATTTCCCCATTCGCTTTATGAGGCCAGCAATATCTGATACCAAAAGCAGACAAAAAGATTACAAGAAAAGAAAACTACAGACCAATATCCTTCATGAACACAGCCACAGAAATTCTTAACAAAATGTTAGCAAATCAGCTAACAATAGGGAAAACCGGGTATGCGATATACAGGAACTCTCTAACATTCTTGCAACTTTTCTGTAAATTTGCAACTCTTCTAAAATTAAAAATTAAAAAAAATTAGCAAATGAAATCCAGCAATGACCATATCTTGACCTAATGAAGTTCACTCTAGGAATGCAGGGTTAATTTCACATTTGAAAATCTGTGAGTGTAACTCATCACATTAACAGAAAAAAGCAGGGGAAAAAATCATATGATCACCTCAATTGATGCAGAGAAAACATCTGAAAAAGATTCAACCTACATTCATGAGAAAAGTTTTCAGCACACTAAGAATAGAAAGGAGCTTCCTCACTCTGACAAAAGGAATCCATGAAAATCCTACAGCTAACATATTACCGGTGAAAGAATGAATACCTTCCCCCCTAAGATTGGGAACAGGATAGAAATGTCTATCTCGCCACTCATATTCAACACTATACTAGCAATTCAAACCAGTGCAGTCAGGCAAGAAAAAGGATAGTTTTTCCAACAACTGATGCTTGGAATAAAGAGGTATTCATAAAGGAAAACTATGAACATTTTTAATGGTATCTTTTTCTTTTTTTATTGCCTGTCATTGACCCACTATAACATTTACAATCTAGTTTGTATGCATCCATAGTTTTCTCCATGTTCTTATCACATACAAATATACAAACATACTTACAAATAAACATATACAGAATTTGTCGTTTGTTTTATAGAAATTTAACCCAATTTAAAAAAACTGAGATATAATAAAATGTAGAAGTCTTAAGTGTACCGCTTGATGAATTTTAACACATGTATTCACATGGATTGGACTATTAACCAAAAGAAAATCACCACAAAGACTTCCTTCTTGGCTCTTTCCTATTAATTCCTCCCACAAAAGCAACGAGTATCCTAATCTGATCAACACAAATTAGTTTTTGTCTGTTCTTGAATTTTACGTAAGTAAAATAATACAGTATATACTTTTGTGACTGGTTTATTTTGCTCAGCATGTATTTGAGATTAATCCATGTTGTTGAGTGCCTACATTCATTTTTTAATTAGTAATTTGTATTCCATTATATGAATATACCACATTCCGTTTATCCGTATCAATGGACACTTAAGTTATTTCTGGTTTGGGGCTTTTATGAATAAAATTGCTCCGGATAATCTCATACAAATCTTTTTATAGGAAATAAATTCATTTTTCTTGGGTACATATCTAGGAATGCAAATGTATTGGGTAGGTGTATGTTTAAATTTCAAGAGACTGTCAGTTTTCTGAAGTGATTTTACCATTTTACACTTCTACCAGTAATATATGAGAATTTCAGTTGCTCCGTAACTTTAAACACTTGCTATCTCAATCTTTTAAATTTACCATCTGGTGGAAATGTAGTGGTGCCTCAATAAGGCAGAATATTGTTCATTTTCCTAATGACTAATGATGCTGAGCCCCTTTCAAAAGTGCTTTGGCAATTTAGAGATCTCTTTTCTGACTTAACTGCTCAAATCTTGACACCATTTTTAAATTGGGTTATCTTTTTATTATTGAATTCTAGAAGTTCTTTATATATTCTGGATACAAGCCATTTTTCAGATATATATATTGGGAATACCTCCTCCCAGATTATGGCTTGACGTTTTATTTTACTTCAATGAGAATATTTTAATTTTTTGTACAATTTTTTTTTAAACAATTTCAAATTTACAGAAAAGTTGCCACTACAAATTTTTTCTCTGAACCATTTGAGAGTTGCCAACCTGATGCCGCATCATCCTCAAATACTCTGTGTTTATTTCCTACAAACAAGAAAGTTCTCCTACAGACCACAATGCAACCAACAAAATCAGGAAATTAATAATGAATCATTATTACTTCCATACAATCTTTCTCATTCAAATTTCACCAATTGACTCAATAATGTATAATAAGGAACCAGATAAATAATACGTATTGTATTTAGTTGTCTTTTTAGTCTCCTTCAGTCTGAAACAGTTTCTCAGTCTTTCCTTAGGCCTTCATGATCTTGATACGTTTGATGATTACAAACCAGTTATTTTGTAAAATATCCCTCAATCTAGTGTCTTAGATTTCCTTACCATTAAACTCAGTTTCCATGTGAATAACCAATCATTCCAATGTTTATTTTATAGTCCATTCTTTTCTACTTTTGGTACATTAAATTTCCACATGCACAGGTCTGTTTCCAGGCTCTCTGGTCTATTCCACTTACTTACATGTTTAAATATCACACTGTTTTAATTATTATAGCTTTATATTGCTAACTGCACACTAGCCACAGTTACCTTCCCTGAACACAACACTCTTTCATAATTCCTTGTGTTAGCATAAACTGCTTTCCGCCTGCTCCCAGGCCTGCAACCTCCCAGTCAACCTACCAACTAATAACAAAAAATTCACAGAAATGTTATTCTTTCAAGGCCCATCCAAACATCAACTTTCCACAAAAGTATTTTCTGAATATCCCAGAGAATTAGCCCCACCGTTCTGTTTTTCCACAGCATTCCATTCAAATCTGTACGATATAACTTAAAAAACACAGTAGTTATTTTATCTATTAAGATGTTTATCTCCTTCAGTACGCACAGGCACAGGCAGCATGTCTTAGCTTTGTATATCACAATGTAGCACAAAAACTAGTGTATAATAATATAGTATGGAAAATATAAAGAAAATTCTCAAATGTTATCTATATTTTTATAAAGCAGGACTCCATTTTGCAAATGCTAGAAGCTTTAGCAATATCTCTTCAAAGCAAACGTGTTACAGATCTGAAAAAGAAAAGCACATATACCTTCAGTGTCTTGATCATAGTTGGGTCAGTTGATCTAACATAGAAACTCTTCAGATAAGGTTCAAACATACCCTAGATTACAAAAATAAATACATAAATACAGTTGTGGTACTAATTTTTTCATTCTTCCCTTAAATTATGTGTTCACAATGGACATACCTTTCTTTGAATTGACATAGTTGCTATATTCTGTAGGACAATATATTGCACCTCCCTAGGAATTAAAGAAGAAGTTTCACTGGGTATATCTTCCAAGAAAATATCTTTTCAGTAAACAGTACATTAAAGAAAATAATCAGCAATAAATTCCACATTGAATGGAACTCTTAAATGTAATATCAAAAAGTTTTTAATAAATCTTAGATATTTATGCCTTCTTTTTAAACACACTTTCCCCTGTAAACTACTAATAAATTTGATTTATCACGAGACAAAGTTAAAACAAATTTTATAATACCGTATTCGTAAAGTATAAAGCCAATACTGTAGTTACTCTGAACACATGCAAGGGAGGTATTTGTAGGGCTAATGAGGTAAATATGACCATAGCATTAATATATACTGATCAGAGGTTTCACTCTATAACTCAATCCTGTTGAGAGTCAAAGGCCAGATTAAAAAAGCAGTCATGTCATTTTTGTGCCCAAATATCTAAGAAACAAAGATAAAATTAAATGTGGTATAAAGCTTCATGTGACAGCCCACTGCAGACCCTTCTGATTTTCCCTGAACTAGCAATAAAAGAGAAAAAAACATTTAACTGATAAAAGGGAAAAGAATGGCTATGTACAAAGACAGGGGAGAACAGGGACACACAGCAAAATAGTATTTTCCTTGTCACTAAGGCATGGCAAAAGCCAGTCAAGGACTAAAGCTGTGGCATAAGTTCCAGTTAAGGACAAAAATGAATATATATCTTTATATATAACAACACTGTTAGAGAAAGTACAGCCCTCAATTTTTAATTTAAAAAATAGTAATTATCGCAAAAGATCCACGGTAAGCTAAACAGCTAAAACAAAGATGCATTGTTAAGCACAGAAAATAAAACAAAGCAAGACAAAAAACTCATCTTAAACTCTGAAATTATGTCTCACAGAAACTCAACAGATGTGTTTTGAATTGTTGCCCTGAACTGCTGAATGATGGGAAGTTAAAATTAAAGAAATAGGTGCTCTTTCTTTTTTCTTTCTTTCTTTCTCTCTGTGTATCTATCATCTATCTAAAGGAAATTAAAAGAACATGCATTGATTTCAAATGAGTAGTTACTAAGAATATAGTTCTCTTTTTAAAATGGAGCAAACTACAGTAGTTACATATTGCCACTTTATAGAAAGCAGCAATTCTTTCATAAACTGTGTAGTTTAAGATATGTATTGCTTCATATAAAATCATATATAATACACTGAGTAAGTCAATCTGACAATACTTCGGTATATTTTTCAATGATTCCAGATTTACTGGAACTCGCAAACATCATTACTATCACACCTAGAAATAACAAACAATAAGACTAGGCTACTGTTGACAGCATATACTACATAGGTGATAGGTCACAAGCTGTTTGAACTTCAAGTTAAAAAAAAATTCAATATTTATCATTAAGTTTGAGATAAATTGTATAAAAGCTATTATGATGATCCCCTTAAGTATGAAATCTTATCGATAAAATACAGTCAGAAGCATGTAATAAATGCCTGAAAGACAATTCTATTTATTCAAGGATTACTTTTGAAGGAATACAAAATAAAAAGCATATATAAAATCATGACTTACCTATTGCTACGAAGTAAACGCACTAGTGATTTAGAAATAATACTAGCTTCAGATTTTGGTGATAAGTGCCAAAAGAGCTGAGCAACTGCCATAACCACCTAAAAGATAGAGCATGAAACAACAGAGACTATGAACACTGGAGTACTCTACAACCTCAAAAACATTTGTACATGTTACCTCCTTTACCCTCTACAAAATTCCTGTGAAATAAAATGAAATATGCTATTATCCTCTGTAGTGGGTTGAATATAAAAAAAATCATTGCCTTCAAGTCAACTCCGACACACAGTGACCCTACGGGACAGACCAAAACTGCCTCATAGGGTTTCCAAGGAGTGGCTGGTGGATTCGAACTGCCGACCTTTTGGTTAGCAGCCGTAGCTAATAAACACTACACCACCAGGGCTCCTGTGGGTCGAATAGTGTCCCACAGAATCCACCTATACTCAGAACCTCAGAATGTGACCTTATTTGGAAATAAGATCTCTGCAGATGGAAAAGGACTAAGATGAGATCATAGTGGATTAGGGTGGCCGTAAATCCAATGACTGTGTTCTTACAGGAGACCACACACACACACACAGAGAGAGGGAAGAAGGTGATGCAAAGATAGAGGCAGAGATTGGAATGAACTGTCTAAAAGCTGAGGAACACCAAGGACTGCTGGCAACCACCGGAAGCGAGGCATGGGATGGTTTCTCCAGAAGGAACCAAACCTGCCAGCACCTTGATTTTGGACTTCCGGCCTCCTGAACTGTGAGACAGTAAACTTCTTTGTTTAAGTTATCCAGTTTGTGGCAATTTGTTACGGTAGCCCTAGGAAACTAATATGCCCTTAGAAAAGAAAATAGATGTTAAATGATCTGTCCCAGGTCTCACAGCCAATATGTGGCAGAGTTCAATGCAACACTCCAAATTCCATGTTCCTTCTAGTGCTGCTGCTGCTGCTGTTGCTGCTGTTATAAGGTTGGGAATTTTTTTAAAAATTGTAAGCATGCCTTTTCAAATGAAGCCAGATGCTTTATGATAACAGGATCAAGTAGGCTGAAGTAATGAAAAATTAGTACAACTACATTATAATTAAAGTCACTCTATTAAAACAATGCATTTAAAGAAGCAGAATTTGGAATGATCTTTGTTTTTCCAAATGTATAACATTAAAGCCAGTCTTTGGTTCAAAACCATTATAAGGGTGATTAGAATTTCTCTGTCACAAAATATGCCTCTACATGCTTCTACATTTAGGTTCACAGATCAACAGCACAAACTTGCCATCACTGAGAGAATCCAGTTTCACATGTGACGATTACAAAGACATAGGTACAGAAGTTACATAATCTTGTCTTTGACTAAGAAGATATATTAATACTACTTTACTTGTACTTGATCTATAAAGTTCTAACAAATATACGGCGGGAGTTTTAGATGCCTAAATAGCATATGGGTCAGTGATGGTTCAGTGGTAGAATTCTTGCCTTCCAGGTGGGAGATCTGGGTTTGATTCCAGCCAACACACCTCATGTGCAGCCACCGCCCATCTGTCAGTGGAGGCTTGCATGTTGCTATGATGCTGAACAAGTTTCAGCAGAGCTTCCAGACTAAGACAAACTAGGAAGGCCTGGTGATCTACTTCTGAGAATCAGCCAATGAAAACCCTATGGGCCACAGCAGTCCAATCCACAACGGATGATGGGAATGCCACAGGACCAGGCCGCATTTCATCCTATTATGTATGGGATTGCCATGAGCAGAGGAATGACTCAATGGCAGCTAACAATAAGAAACAGTAATATGGAGTCCGCAGGTGGTGCAAAAGATTGAGTCTATCAGAGGCACCTCGGAAGAAAGTCCTGGTGATCTACTTCCAAAAAATCAGTCATTGAAAAACCCTATAGAGTTCTACTCTGACACACATGGGGTTTCCATGAGTCAGAGTTGACTTGACAGCAACTGGTTTTTAAATAGTACGTAGCACGTGAGGGTACCTGAGGTAAAAGTTTCTTCTAAAACTAAGAAAAAATTTTAAACATACAGTTTAAAAGGTGCTAATGCATTTCGGTGTACTTTTTTACAAAACTGGTTTAAAGTTTTCAGACATTGTTTGGGTATTTGAGGAGTTCAAGATATCTCACTTCTTTACCTGTGATCCACAGATTAATTACAGAACAAACTCTCCTGAATTTCAAATCTTATAAAATAAGAAAATCTCAATTAATGATTGACCTAATCTACAAGTAGGCAACAGTCATTTTAAAAAATATCAAAGCATACAGCTGACTAATAAGGATTAGTATATGATATAATAGAAAGCTAAAGCCTAATTTAATGTGCTTTATAAATAACAAGTTATTTTTCTATTGCAAACAGTAAGTCCAATCTTGTTGGCAAGAAGGTAAACTTTCTATACATGTCAACTTTTTAAAGAATCTACCGCCTGCTTAGTATATCATCTATTCTAATGTATGAATTAGGGCACTCCCAAATCCAAAGGGGCCAGATGATCTTTTTCCTCAGTATTTACACATCCAAGAGTTTAAAGTTTCTTCAATACACAGATTTTGAAATTTATAGTCTAATATGTAGAAGCCATGAGGAAACTCCCATAACTCTAAAATTCAAAAAGACTAAAAATATACAACTTCACAGGCTTTGTAGTTACATTAATCCTGTTAATAAAAAAGTACATCATATAAGCACTTCTCTATTGTTAATTATTCATGCCACTATCACCTCATCTAGATTGTTAAAATAGCCTCCTAACATTCTGTTTCCAGTATCTCCTAACTCCAATTCAATCTACACAGAAACGACCAATTAGGTTTCCTGAAACAAATTCTGAAAGTCTCTCCGGTACCTCGAGACTAAGATAAAAAAATCTACTCACAATCTTTCGAAGTTAGACTTTACCTACATTTAGCAGCATCAAATAAACAGGGTACCAAAACATACTGGGACAGAAAGTCCAAACTATTTCACCTTTTCAAAGCATTTTTGATCAGTAAGTATTTGAACTATAAAAACAATTTCAAAGACAAAATTAAATTAATACTGAATCATAAAGTAGAGTTTCAGGTGGCAAATTAGAGCTACCTATCTAGCATTTGGCTAAGCTAGAGTACATATTTTGCAACATGAGTGAAATAATATTTTTGTTATCACTGTGATGGTTATGAAATAATTATTTGGAAATAAATCACTAGGTTTAAGATAAAGACTTTTGCTAATTATTAAGCGATACAAAGCTCTAAGCTCTAAAATCTAAAGCCTATTGCCAGGAAACTTATAAATAGTTCAAGTGAAATTCCTCATTTTCAAAGCTGTTACCATCTAAAGACCAATTCATTAAAAATTTTTTTAATTAAAAAAAATTTTAAAAAGGTCAAGAAGGGAGAGTGTTGACATGTCGTGGGGTCGTTAATCAATGTCATAAAACAATATGTGTACTGACTGTTCAACGAGAAACTATTTGTTCTGTAAACCTTCATCTAAGGTACAATTTAAAAAAAAAAGAAGGAAAAGAAGAATCACCACAGAAACTCCTAGACACACTGTTAGGAAGGGGGAACTGACTTCCTGCAATTCCCACCTGAAATTCTAAGCTTAAAACAATACAAAATAAAAGCAAATCTGTTTCCAAAAAAAAAAATTAAGAACATGTTTAACTTGAATCCATCAAATCTTTAGGTCTCTAACGCCCAGTTAACAGGAAATCTAGGGCACAGAAGAATAAATTATGCGACATTATGAAGGGAGAAACAAACTCAGGGGAACATTCTACAAGACATGAGAGGTTTAAAAGATATAACAACCAGATGCAATGTATTAGATATGGATTTGGATAAAACACCTAAAAAGGATAATTTGAAATAAATTGGCATTAAATCAGATGAAAATTTATTGAAATAAAAAGGTAGAGAGAACTGACAGGAAAAAAAAGAGGTTACAAAATACTATACACAGTGTGATTTTTATTTTGGTTAAAAAATATATATGTATGTATATAGTTATCGACACATGTGAATATATGTGTATTTATGAAGAAAAAAATCTCGAAGGAAATGCACTAAGCGAATTATGATAAATGGTGATCTGTGAGTATGGGAATAAGATTTTAATTCCTTAGTTTTGCTTCTCTATATTTTCTGATTTTTTATAATACACAGTACTCTTCTGAAGTATAAGAGGTGGTTTAAGATAAAAAGACATAAAAGCAAACAAACAAACAAAAAATTTAGGACCCAAATAAAGATAATTTTAAATTGCTATTACTACCAGTTAAAATTTACTATGTGTGAGGCATTATGCTAGGTGCTTTTGTCATACTTTAGTCTCTTAAGATTCTACCAGGTAGCTACTACTACTATGAACTGATACCAGATCAATAACTCTCAACCATGATCACAGTATACTAAGTAATACACAGTCTTTGTTTAGGGAGTTATATAATCGAATCAATTGAGAAACGTCTTGAGCTCCTATCTTAGGAAAAGTCAATTAATAAAATCACAAAAAAGTAAATGAAGTCCATTAGGCATACAACAAACAAAGCAGGTATTGTCACCAAACCCTGATGTTTGCCTTCTTGGTAACATTTAAGGCTGAAATACATTTAGGCATTACTTCCTAGAAATGTACAGTTTATATCCCACACTGTATTTTCAACTATCTGTTACATCTTCTGGTGTGTAAATAAACAAAAAAAAGGTTCCATTATTATACTCAAAAATTAAAGAAAAGACTTGTTTACCGAATTTAGATCATTAAACCACCTTTAAAATAAATTCGTGAATTATTTCTTATAAGGGTTTTATCATACCGCCGCATTCCTGCTCTGTAGCAAAGGCTTTGTGTTCCGAATTAAGAGTCTATGGTCTGGATCCATAGTATATGGCTTCTTTCTTTTTTCAGTCTTCTCCTTCTCTTCATCATCAGATTCATAGAAGTTCTTCTCATTGTCTTCTACACCATCATCCTGCAAGGAAAGAAACCCAATCCCAAGATTAATTCAGGCCCTCAATTGACCAAATATTTTATAGTCAAAGAAAACTTTAAAAAATATCTACATTAATGAGAACACTTTGCTGCGGAATACTACTGTTGAGGCAATTTAAAATTATTATAGTAGAGCGTCTCCAGCAGCTCCGGAGGAGGAGCAAGAAGGACCAGTGCAGTGGAAGGTATTTTAGAAGACAGTGTTCAGCCCCCTGCACACACAACCAGGACCGAACCCATGGGAAGGACCCGGGAAGAGAGAAGGTGCACCTCTCCTCAAATTGTGGAGGTCTCTCAACCTGTGGTGGCCCAGAGATCCAGCGACGCGGGAGGACTACACGGCAGAGAGCTCTAGACAGAGGGAGAAAGTTTCCATTGGCCATGAGATCAGGTAAAAGAGGCCGAGGGAAAAAAAAGAAACAGACCAGGACATGAACAGGCTGCTGTTCTAGGATCGTCTGGAGGAAGGCGACGAGATCGAGGTCAAGATTTCCTGAGCAAATTGCATGCTGCAATCTCTTTTGATGAAAAAGGCTTGCCTCTGACAGTCCTGCCAGCAAATGCCTGGGAGGTGCAAGCAGCTCTCTTAGACCTCATCCCACCGGTGCTCTCCCCTGCGTCTGTCTCACCCATGGTTCAAAGAGTGGTTGATGCAGTGGCCCAAACTCACAGTGGCTGGCCAGGACGAGCTCAGACTGTCCTCTCTGAGGTCGTGGAGCTGTTACCTAATGTCATGCCTCCTCGGATTAAACAGTATCCACTGAGAGTTGAGGCTTGTCTGGGACTGCAGGGACTAATCACTCTACACCTGGTGGGGGACTGTTGCGAGACTGCCATCCCCATTCAACACTCCTGTTCTGCCGGTAAAGAAGATGTCGACGGTTACATCGGGTAGTGTGGATCCAGCAGAAGTTCCCTCTTGAGATAACCGCAGTCTTTCCAGCCTCACGACCAGGTGCTGCTTTGAAAGTAGAAGGACCTCCTGTTACAGCCTAAGTGAACCAGACCCTTCACCGTACTACTCAGCACTCACACAGCCTTGAAGCTCACAGGAGTCAAACCGTGGATCCATCATTCTTAAGTCAAGGCCTGCCCGGTCTACAGTGACAGGAAGGAGTGGAAAGCCCAACCCATCGATGGCCTAAAGTTAAGACTTTCTAGGGTTAAGAAGTAAAAATGTTTTTAATGCTAGCTTGAATGGGATTACTATTAGGTGCAAGAAAGACTTCCGCTCGGGGAATCCTTGTCCCCGAGATAAACGCTTCCCCCAACCCCTTGTTAAAAGATGAAAAGTTTCAGATCTATATTGCTAGACAAGTGTTAAACGTTACTCATTTCTGTCTGGATGGGGGATTGCAGGCCAATTCGGCCCTCAAGTCCTGTCTCAATGAGATTTGTACTCTCCTAGAGGCATTGAGAAATTTCACTGTTTTTAAACACAAAGAGTTACAATATCCTGATATTTATAGTTGGGGGCCTGTTACAAGATTCACGAAGGATTTGATTTTTCTTGGCTGACCTCCTGGCTGCCAGATGTTACCTGGCTAAAAATCTTATTCATTAGTAGAATTGGTTTAGTTGTTATAGGCCTGTTAATCTGTTGCTGTCTCCATGCTTATATGTGAGATGGCAGGCATTCTCTGTCCTGAGTCAGACTATCCAATGAATCGCTCAAACCTGACACAGACAAAAGGCCCAGTGCTTTTGCTGGAAACTTTCGGATTTAAGGGAATAAGTTGAAACTTGGTATGGGTGTATATGACCACCCAAGCTTCAAAAGGGGGGAATATGTGACCCTACTCAGCATGTTTTCTCCTTTTCAGAATGGGCAACTGAGGGCTTGACATAACCAACACCATAATGAACCTGTAAGTTTTTCTTTGCCTTCTCCCTTTTCCCATACCTTCGTTAATGGCTTTGTTTTGCGCGTACCTTTGCTAATCACTCTGTTTTATGACTTAGGATACCCCACGGGAAGATAAGAGCCCAGATGTCAGAGACCTATATCTTTAGCCTGATAAGAAAAGGTCCGGTTCCCTATCTCTATAGTATGATAGTCTCCTGTAATTATCTTGGAGTGAATAATAAGACTTCTAACTTTTTAAAAATCATATATAAGTGCTGATGTAAAAATGCCTTTTGGGACTCCCCAAGGACAGCCTGTGTTGCTGTTGGATCCCCGGTGGTGTATACTTCCTAAATTAAAATTTTCTTTCTCTCTCTCAAAAAAAAAAAAATCAATTATTATACTATATAAATGGAATAAAGACTGCTTTTTCTCATATTTTATAACACAATAACTGCCCTTTAGTGCTATATATAATGCTTGTTTTATATTTACACAGACATACCCATAATTGCCCCAAGGGAAAACCAGACCATTAGATTCTATCAAGCCCTATAATTTAAGACTACTTAAAACCTGAAAACTATGCCCACAAATTGTTAGTCACTCTGTAACTGGATCAAAGGGTCCAAAGAAAGAAGAGCACTATTTGAATTGCAACACACATTTAAAAAAAAAAAATTGTAATAAAGCATGATAGGTAAAACTTACAGATTAAGTTGGTCTCTGTGTTGTCAAGAAAAAGTCTCAAGCTTTGATTTATAGATAGCCATAGGAGTTGATTCTATGTTTTTGTTTTGTGTTTTTTGTTTTGAACTGCCTTTGCTAACAAAATCTGTCTATAGGCATTTAATTCTAAAACCAAAAACCAAACCCACTGCCATCGAGTCAATTCCAACTCATAGCAACCCTATAGGACAGAGCAGAAATACCCCCATAGGATTCCCAAGGAGCAGCTGGTGTTATTTGAACTGCTGACCTTTCTGGTTAGCAGCCATAGCTCTTAACCACTGCACCACCAGGGCTCCTTTAATCCTAAAAATAAATAAAAACAAAGCACACAATCATACAATAATATCCATGTACATCAAATCCAACTACTATTTACAGATAATTTCTGTTACCAATTCTGAAAACATACTTTCTATTTCTGGAAAGATGCAGATGTGTTTCTCCCTATTCCTCTCACTAAGTACAACTATACAGCCTAAATATTATATATATAAAAAAAATTAGACTTTGAAAGGTAAAGAGAAGAGGGCAGACTGGAAAGGGACCTCAGGACCACAGAATGACACAACAGTGAGTTCTCTGGGCTTCCTTTATTTCAGCACAAGACCTCGTACTGGAGAAGCTAGTAACCAAGATACTCCAAGTGCAGATAAAAAACTCCACCCCTTTAAAAAAACTCTACTCACTATAGCCAAAGACCAAGGAGCCTAGCAAGATAGAAAACTTTTAGAAAATAACCACTCTACTACAGTCAAACACCACAAAAAAACTATGGCCCCACTCCACTCCTACTAGCAAAGGCTGAAGAGGGAAGCCTAGGCTTCCATCCTCACCAGGCTGTAATGAATCATCCAAACCACCTCACTGGGGTGGTGTCACAGAAGGTAGAACAGGGACTGGGAATTTCATCCCAACAGGAGGTAACTAGGCCTCACTGTAATGTCCGCAGAGATCACGTGGAGAACTTGGATTTCCAATCCCATCTGCAGTAACAAGGCGTCCTTATCCTTCCCCACTGGAATTTTATCAGAGGAGTCTACCAGACAGTCAGGAATTACAGCATAACCACCTACTGGTAATGAGGCCATCCCTCCTACCCACCACAGAGTGTTGGTGGAGGACACATACAGAGCAGTAATGAGGCATTCTTATCCTTCCCAGCCAGGGAGCTATCAGAGGAGGACTAGTGGTAGCCAGAATTCCCACACTTACCCAGTGGTAACCATAAGCACGAGTTCCCTGAGGTGTTAATGGAGGCTGAATAGGGAACTTGCACTTCTACTTCAACCTAACATTAGAGAGGCAGTGCCCCCAGCTTTCCTGCTGGAGTGGTATCAAACAAAATCAGCTAAAATGTAAGATTTAAAGAAGATCCAGAGTCCCATAATATAATATTCAACATGTCCTGGTTTCATTACAAAATCACTCACCAATAACGGAAGCAAGGAAGATCTCAAACTGAATAAATAAGACAATAGATGCCAACACTGAGATGACAGGGGTGTTAGAATTACTGACAAAGATTTTAGAGCAGCCATCATAAAAATGTTTAAGTGAGCAATTAGGAGCATATCTGAAACAAATATAAAAAATAGAAAGTCTCGGCAAAGAATGAGAAAGTCTAAACAAAGTAATAGAAGATATAAAGAAGGATCAAAAGGAAATGTTACAACTGAAAAACATTAAGAACCAAAATAAAAAACTCAATGAATGGGATCAAAAGGTGAATTGAGTGGGGCGGTCAGGAGGACAGAAGAAACAACCAGTGAACTGAAATACAGAACAACAGAGAGAAAACAGACTGGAGGAAAAAAATCCAGAGCCTCAGAGATATGTGGAATTATAACAGAAGACTTAATAGTCATGTCACTTGACTCTGGAAGGAGAGAAGAAAGAGGGTAGTGATAAAGGAGTACTCAAAGAAATAATGGCTGAAAACCTCTTAAATCTGGCAAAAGACATAAAACTACAGATTCTAGAAGCTGAGCAAACCCTAAACAGTATAAACCCAAAGATATCTACAACAAGACATATCAGAATCAAACTTGTAAAAACTAATGAAGAAGAAAAAATCTTGAAAGCAGAAAGAGAGAAATACTTTCACAATGACAGAGGATTTCTCATCAGAAACCATGGAGGACAGAAGAAAGTGGCACAACACTTTTTAAGTGCTGAAGGGAATGAACTATCAACACTTAATCCTGTATACACTAAAAATATCCTTCAGCAATACAGGAAAATTCAAGATATTTTCAGATGCAGGAAAACTAACAGACATTGTCACCAGCAGATATATCCTTTAAAAAAAAAAAAATGCTAACAAGTTCTTTAAACAGGAAGAGAATGATAAAAGATGGCATCTTAGAACACCAGGAAGGAAGAAATAACACGGTAAAGAAAAA